AAAAAAAAAAAAACAGCTATGATTACCTTTACCTTCCTCCATTTTTCCCCAATCTAAAAGCCTATAGCCTTGTCCAGATTTCAATTTTTTTCATGTTAAGTCATTTTCCACCAAAATAATATTATATATATATATAAAAAAAAAGACCTCAATAAATAAAAAAACCTGTAGCTTGAGTCATTAACCTCCTGAACATCCCCTTTTTCACCATGGATCAAAGAAAAAACCCCACCCAAAAAAAATATATTTATATTATTCCTTCATCTTCATCTCATGATGAAGCAAACCTAAAACACACAAAAAAAAAAAAAAAATCCCAACAAACCCTAAGGGTTTTTTTTTTTTTTCTCCCAAAACCAAAATTAAAAATGTTTAGCAAAAACAACAACACATACCTCCCCTTCCCCCACCCCTCCTCCTCCTCCTCCTCCTCCACCGCCATCGACACAACCGGATTCGAAATCTTCCTCCACCACCATCCGGAATTCTTCTCCGGCCACCACCACCACCACCACCACCCGGCTGCCACCTCTGGCCTCCTCGCCACCGGCGACCGCCACCCGTCCCCTCAGCCGATCAAAAAACAAACGGCGAAAAAAGATCGGCACAGCAAGATATACACTTCCCAGGGCCCACGCGACCGGCGGGTCCGCCTCTCGATTGGCATAGCCCGCAAATTCTTCGACCTCCAAGAGACACTCGGCTTCGACAAGCCCAGCAAGACCCTCGACTGGCTCCTCACCAACTCCAAGGCCGCCATAAATGACCTCAACGTCCCCAATCCTCCCGAGCCAGAGCCGAGGGGCAAATCGGGAAACAACAAAAACAAGGATCTGGCTAAAGAGTCAAGGGCCAAGGCTCGGGCCAGGGCTAGGGAGAGGACCCGCGAGAAAATGTGCGTCAAACAAATATGCGGTGAGGATGTGAACAAGAACGACGAGCCGTGTTTGGATCACGAGGAGGAGAAGCGGAAGTCGTTTTTCGGGTTTCATCATCAGCAAAATTACGGGGCCCACATCCCGATCCCAGCCGAGAATTGGGATGCTTTGGCTTCGCATTCTAACCTTTGCGCGGTTTTGGACCAGCACAAGTTCTTCATGAACAGGTAAAAAGTTTATGTGAGCAAACAAATTGATCAACATATCATATACATGAAAAATGTATGTTCATATCATTTTTCTCTTTTTCTTCTTCTTTTTGGGCAGCTATCCTAACATGTGAGGATCTCATGGAGATATCGGGAGGATTGTTAATCCTGTAAGTTATTATACCTTTTGTTAATCGGTTTTGATCGATGTCTTAGAACTCGGTCGATGAATTAATGTAATGTTATTTGCCTGAATTTGAATGTTGGTGAAGGGTGATTAGGTTTGATTATATGTAATGTTGGGACACAATATTATATGTGTGGTCTTTTGCTTCTGGTTAATTAACAATGTTTTTTTTTTTTTTATGAGGTCCTATGGATATAAACCTAATTAATTTGCATTGCAGTTAATGACTGATTCAAGATTGCCTTTTTGTCTGAGTATGAATTTGATGCAGGCTTTGACACTAATTAATTAGCTGCAAAAAATAAAGAATAAAAAATAATGTGCTGTTACCTCAAGAATTGAGAGCATATAATGATCAAAATGTAACATCAGTTTAATTAATTATCTGATTAAAAAGGCTCACACATTCAATATATATAGCATATCAGGTCATTTCAATTATTGAATTCAACAAACTGGAAATTAATTAAGCTCAAGGTAAGTTATATATTGTATGCATATACCTATTTCAAAATTTTCTAATATACCCAAATTAAAGAGTAAAATATTTCTGATGTAAATCTGGTGTGAAATTTAGCTTCATATATATATAGATGCTTAATTTTTATAAATATCGAATAATATTTATTCGGTATTATCTTAGATTCTTCGATTAATTCCTACATTCTCAGAGCTTGATAGTTTAGTCAGTTGTGGCTGTTGGATTTTTTAGAGAAATAAAAATTATACTAGCATGAAAATAGGCAACTTACATATTGGTTATATGATACTATGTTTCTTCATCTTATATTAATGTTATATGATACTATGTTAGCTTCATTTTATTACAAGTTCATCACATATATATGAGAATTTGCAACATTTGACTAGCATTGGACTAGTGCATTATGTGGAAATTTTGTGACTAATTGACTAATTAATGATTTTATATTCTTAACATATTCTGTAGATATTTCTTGCAAGAGGCTGTATTAATTACTGCAAAACTATAGAAATATTGAAATGCAACTTTTAAAAACATTTGAGATGGTGTAAGTTGTTAGTTGTTGTTGGAACTTTGATGGAAACTCTACACATCCGTCCCGGATTGTTGGATTGAAAGTTTTCAAAGTTTGAACCAATTACTAATATTGGACTTATGAGTGATAGTGAATTATGGGTCATAAAAAGTTTCTTTTACTTATTAAAATAATTTATATTGTATTTATTTAATTTTAAAAAAATATAGGGATTAAATTTGATAATTAAATTGGAAGTGAAACATGTATAAATATAATAGGTTCAAGTAATTGTCACATGTATTATGAAGAAAATTGTAAAAATTACGTACTACATAGTGGCGAGACACTGTGGCTGCAAAACAAGAAGGCAGCTATACACTGTGGCTGCAAAACAAGAAGACGGCTGCAAACGAACCGTAGACCAAGAGCCACACTGGTTATGGTTGCAAACCACGAATTTGTTATTGTATAAAAATTAAATTTCCTAAATGCGCTTTAAATTTGTAATCTAAAATATAGAATATGAATATCTCAGGTAAAACAGATACATTGAATAAACTTGTATATAAATATTCTAATAATTGTAAATTTGTAATTTTTAATTCAAACTTAACCATTATGGAGAAAACTAATAATGTATCCTACACTTGAATTTACTTTAAAATTTGACAATTACTTTAAATTTGACGATTTCAACAAAAGATGGTTGTAAATAAACTTCCAATCTTGTTGTAATAGTTGAATAACAAATAACCTTCTATGACCCTATTTTATCCTATAAAATATTTTAGTTATAGTATTTGTAGATTTTTTTTTCCCAATTTTTAAACTATAACATTAGTTAAAATAATCATTGAATTTTGCTATTCAAATCTCCCGTGGACATATGATTTTTTTAGAAGCTATATTCGGTAACCGTTTTTTACTTAATTATCTAGCATACTTTTTCCTTTTTTTATTTCTTAATTTATTGTCCCGTTAGTGTTTGTTTTATTTATATATTTATATGTATGTGCATACACATAGGGTTGTAAACAACTTGAGCTCAACTGGAGCCCTAATGAGCCGAGTCGTAAAGTAAACGAGTAAGAAACCGAGTTCAAGTTCAAGTTCAGCTCGTTTATAAATATTAACGAGCTGAGTTGGAGTCGATCTCGAGTTTTAACGAGTCAACCTATAAAAAGTCTCTCTTTTCGAGTCCTATTGTGCCGATCCGAGGGCGATTAGTTAATGAAATGAACTTTTAAGCAAACTCTCATTTATCAAACGAGTCGAGACGAAGAAGAGATAGGGAGAGAGAGAGAGAGAGAGAGAGGGGGGGCCGTAGAAAACCGCCAACAAAGATATAAGTCTGCATTTAATTACATAGTTTATTAATTGCATATTTAAATTAATTATTTTTTATAAATTTGGTAATTTTGCAGAATTTTAGAATCTGGTAATTTTGCAATGAAAGATGATATATTTTGTATAGGGTGTAATTATCTCTTGTTTCGGTTTGGTTAAGGTTAGGATAAAGTAGAAAACTACAGTGAGCTCATACTAGCTTGGTGAATTACTAAAATTCACTTCTTCAAGCCATTACTTTCTACATCAAAGTTATATTCTTAAACCATAATCTTTGTAGAGAAGCCAAAATCAAAATTACTATTAACAAATTAAAGTCCCGCTCACCTGCTCACGGTGGGCAGTGCCCACTAGTTTGTTTTATATGAAAAATGTATTCTGAAAATACGTTTTTTAATTAAATTTAATTGATAAACGTATTCTTAAAATACGTTTTTCATATAAAACAAACTAGTGGGCACTGTCCACCGTAGACAGGGGAATATATTTATAACAAATAATTGAAATAAGAGATGGAAGAAATTTTCTAGAAACCAAAATATCAGGGAATTCAAGAAGGGATAAGTAGGAGTTAATTATTTTATAGGAAAATTTGAATATATAAGACCATAAAATTTCCACTCTCTCACAAATACATAAAAAGAAACTAGAATCCATGGCGACTGATGAATCATACGTATAATATGTATAAATCCTCAAATCTTTTTTTCTTTTTTTTTTTTTGGTAGCCAGCCACGGTATTCGGAGTTATGCTCCGACTAATCCGTTGGTCGACTCGGGTCGCACATCTATCAGTGGTTGGTGAGTCTCCCAATAAGGGTTTTTTGTATCCACAAAGACTCGAACCCGATATCTTGCTTAAGCGACATCAAGTTACTTACCACTTCAGCCAACCCCTCCATTTAATTTACTTACATTAATTCCAGCTATAGGCACAGTGATATTATACCATAGGAGGATTTCAACAGCTGAAAACCTCAAAATCTAGGAAAGAGCAAAGAGTAGTGGCTTAAATTGTTGAATGACAAATTTTATACATTTGTTTATTGTTTAGGTAGAATGAATATTAGAATATATATTAGTTACATGGAGCCATGTGTCCAAGATTGTCTCCTGATTTTGTTGTTCAATTTTGTTGCATATAATATACTAATATTATATGTATGGTATGGTATGGTGATTGTACAAATATAAATTTCATTTTATTTTTTTAGCTGAAATAATGATTTGCGATTCTACATGGAATAAAATGCTTCAACCTTCATTTGTTGAATATGAATATTTATCCTCTGATCTAAAGAAAATGGAATTGAATTCTAAGATGAATTATTTGGTAGTCACAACTCCTGCACTAAAATTGTACAACAACATCAATTAAATTTATAACACCATTTTTTTTTATTATTATTTATTTTTTTTCTCATAGGTTATATATGTGAAAAGGACAATGCACAAGCACAAGTTATTCTCTCTTCCGGATTTTGGTGATGTCCAAATCCCCTTTTACAATATTTATAATTTCTGACAATCACAAACTACTCCCTCATTAATTTATTTGTTTATCAAATCATATAAAAACAGCAGCATAATATGCTTTCATATCATTCCATATTTCCATGCTTTTATAGCCAATCCTAATAGAATTTGTTAAAAAAATAAAAATAAAATGTAATAGTAAAAGATTGTTGGATAGTAATAATTTCAAGTACCTGCTATTAGGTGTGGTATCATACCGAACCGATAATTATCGGCAACCTCGAAATTTAAAACCGATACCGAACCGATTTTGGAGCACACAAAAAAATGCTAGTATTTACTTTTCTCGTCAATTTTGTAACATTTTCACTTCTTACAAATTAAATACACACAAAAGCGCACAAATTGGAACTCAACTCAACTCAACTCGGGAAAAATGAGCAAAACCCATTAACGTCACACTTCAGCAGTGAGTCCACTCACTAACCGGAAATCTCTCTGCAAATCTGTTCCCACCATTAACCCCACTTGAAGAACCCTACATTCCCTTCACCTTCAATGCAAACAAACCGGAAAATTGGGACACGAGATCAGATAATTTTTTAGGAAAAAACAAAACCAGAGCTTGGGGGAAAACCCAATACCCTAAGGCCTAACCATGGACCCTCGCCGCGTTCCCCGCACTGTCATCGACCCCAAGGTCCGGCAGGTCGGGTTCTTCGCCCCTCCCGACAGAACCCAGTCGGGCCATCCCGCCCCGACGTCCTCCTCGCCGCCGGCGTCTCCCGCCGGCAACTCCTTGTCTCCCGTGATGATCCCGCCGCCGCACCACGTCTCGGCCGACCTCTCCCGCCACTTTCCCCACCCCCCGTCCGTCTCGCCCCTCCGAGTCGGCTCCCGCACCGCTGATTCTTCTGTTCCCCTCGGCAGCTACAACCCGTCGGAGTTTCTTTCCCCCGCGGCTGCCGCCGATTTTTCCGAGGAACGGCCGTCGCCAGGTTTCAGTCGCAAGGGGAGCCTCGGGAAATTCGCCAGCTCGCTGCCAGCTGGCGGATTTGATATGGCGATGGCCAAGCAGATTATTCGAAATCTGCCTCCAGGTGTAGATTTCTTGTTTTTTCTTTGCTTGCATGCGCAAAATTTCCTGGTCATACGATCCCTTTTAGTGAGTGTTTAGAATTGCGTGGTGATTTGGGGTTTTAACGGATTGTGAAACAGATGGAGGGCCAAAAGCTGAAATGCCGAAGGATCAGAGTTCTGCTACTACAAAGCCATTGAAGGAGAAGACAACTAAAGCTGAAAGACGGGCCATCCAAGAGGCACAGAGAGCTGCAAAGACTGCAGCTAAAGGTGGAACTTCTATTTCTTGTTTTTAGGTGTTTTGAAGATATTCGGCAATTTTGTTGTCTTTTATTAACATGTGTAGTGGACATGTTTGTTCAAGGTTTATATTACCGTTTTGAGCTGTTATGTGTTATTGCAAGTGAATTTGCTGATCTGTCTATGCAAAATGAGAAGTTGAAAAAATGATTGGTTTATGGATTTAGGAATTGATAATGGTCAAGGTTATTCCATTCTTGTTGTCTTTGATGTCGTTGTGGAAAGGCGGAAAGCTTAGGTCGAAGAAATAATGCTGACTTTGATTGACTATCCTATGATTTGTACGGGCATCCTATAAATATGGAATCCAGTGTAGTTCAAACCAGTCAAGGCATCGAACTGTCTAACTTCCAATTATGGTACGGAGAATTGGAAATTCAGTTTAAGGCTTAAAGCAGTCAAAAGGCATTTTATTTTTAACTTGTAAACCCAATATTTTGTTAGGCTTATGTTGCCAGTATAATGTTTTAACTTCATTATGTATGCATATGTGTGTGTGTGTG